CCCAGCAAAATTCCCAGGGACAACTCTGATATATCTAGTTTGCATTACATTTCCATTTATCACATTAACAGAATAAAGAAGAAAAATAACGTGATTATCTCAATAGATGCAGGAAAAACATTCAATAAAATTAAACAATTCATGATAAAATGTTTCAGTAAATTAAAATTAGGAGACTTTCTTAGTTTGATAAAGATTATCTACAAAAATGCTACAGTCCAAATAATATTTGATGATCCCCTGAGATTAAGAATGAGACAATATTTGCTATTAGCAATTCTATTCAGCTTTCTACTGGAGGTTCTAGCTAGTACAATGAGGCAAGAAAAGGAAATGAAAAACAAAGATTGAAAATCAAGAAATAAAACTTTCAAATAATTCACACAACAGGACTATACATGTGTGCATGTACATATATATATATGGGAAAAATCTACAGATGAACTCAGAAATGATACGTGAATTTAGACAGAAGGTCAATTTACAAAAATCAATTGTGTTTCTGTATACTTGTAATGGGAAATTAAAATTTAAAAGATGATGCCCTTTACAAGAACATAAAACCACATCAAATACCTAGGAATAAATCATGAAAGACACTGAAGGACTCTACATAGAAAACTATAAAATATTATTGAGAGAAATAAAAGAAAATCTTTATAAATGAGAGATATCATGTTCATGGATTGGATGACTCAACATTACACTGGAGATGTAAATTCTCCCCAAATTGATGTAGAGATTCCATGAAACGCTAACCAAACTTTGAGCCTTTTTGGGGACAGAGACTGGTAAGTTGTTTCTGAAATATATATGAAAATGCAAAGAGTCAAGAATAATAATGACTATCTATCAAGAAGAAAAATAAAATTGGAGCAAACCACTTGAACAAGCATGTCATAAAAGAGGCCAATAAGTATATGAAAAGATGCTCAACCTCACTAGTTATCAGGAAAATGGGAAACAAAAGTATTATGATATGCTACTATAGACTTGTCAGAATGGCTAGTATTAGAAACACTGACAAAGCCAAATGTTGGTGAGAATGTGGAGTAACTAGAACGCTTACACATTGCAGGTGGGCATGTAAATTACTATGTCGCTTAAGAAAATGTATTTGGCGGTATCCCCTAAAAGCGTCAGGCAGTATTCACTAAAACAGCCCGCAACACCTAGGTACAGGGCTAACAGACATATGTACTTACATGCACCAAAAAGCATGTATACAATGAAAGAGAACATTTTTCATCATGGCTCCCAAGTGGAAATAACCCTAACGCCCATGGAAAATGGGTAAATTGTTCCATCCTCATACTGGAGATGATATACCAATGCAAGTGAGTAAACTACTGCTACATACAACAGTGTGGAGGTAACTTACATACACAATATTCAGTGAAAAGGGCTGAACCTAACGCCATGTCCTGTAGAGTGAGTGATTCCATTTGTACAGGTTCAAAACCAGGCGAATCTAGCCTATGATATTAAAAGTCAGGGTGCTGTTTACTTGCAGTGAGAAGGGAGTGGATAGTGATGGGGAGGGACTCTAAGAGAGCTTCTAATTTTTGGTCTGGGTGTGTTGGCTTTCATCAAGCTTATGGTTTGTGTACTTTTCTGTATGTTATGTTTCATTTTTAAAAGCGTAATTTAAAAAAGTGAATAACGTTTTTCTCTTAAGAGTGTGAGGATTACATAAAATAATGGATCTCAAGCACCTGGTTCTAATATATGAATACTCAATATTAATTAGCTCCTTTCCTTTCATCTGATTGCTATTCCCTGTTCCTTAGGGTAGAGCTCCCCTATTCATGGATCTGTATGTACTTCAACAGGTCACCTGGGGAAACAGGGGACTGGGGAGTAAGCCAGTTCACATTTACAAATTCACGCAATGGCGGCTACCTGGCCTCAGTGTGTTTAGGAAAGTTAAGGGTTGTGGTGGTGGTGAATTTACAAACAGCTAACTGGTCACCTAGGCTCCACGGCAGAGTGGGCACAGCACTCCCTGTAAGAACAGGAGTTGGAGCTGGGATTGGACTAAACCACCCAGGAGTCCACAAGGTGCTGTTTTACTTACTTTTCCCCACTTTGCGTTATGTTCTTGGCTCCTTTATCATAAATTAATTGACTATATGTATGTGGGTTTATTATTGGGCTCTCAATCTATTCTATTAATCTATATGTCTGTTTTTTACATCAATACCATTCTGTTTTGATTATTATAGCTTTATAATGTAGATTGAAATCAGTAAGTGTGATGCCTCAAGCTTTGTTCTTTCTCAAGATTGCTTTGGCTATTCAGGGTCATTTACAGTTTCATACAAATTTTAGGAACATTTCTTCTATTTCTAAATAATGCCATTGGAATTCTGATAGGTGTTGTATTAAATCTGTAGATTGCTTTGGGTAGTATGGACATTTCAGTGTTAATTCCTCCAATCCATAAACATAAACTATCTTTCCATTTATTTGTGCCTTCTTCTATTTCTTTCATCAGTGTCTTATAATTTTCAGTATACAGGTCTTTTACCTCAGTTAGATTTATTCCTAGGTATCTTATTACTTATGGTGCAACTGTAAATTAAATCAATTTCTTAATTTCTCTTTCTGCTAGTTCATTATTACTGT